CAATCCACAAACCAACAAACCTGTCGCTATTTCTCCATCACCTTGACCAGCCTGATGGGACAGGGCACTTAAAGCTCTATTTTTCGGTATATCTGTTGCTCTATTGATACAAAGAGATAATGATCCATAGCTCATGGCCCTGTACAACCTGAATAGCACCATGTGCTCTGATCCATCTGACTTTGGCTGATCTCAAAAAAGCTAAGCATAGCAGGCCTTGATGAGTACTTGAAGGGAAGACCACTCAACTACTAGGACCCCAGGAAGACTGGGAAGTTCACAAAACATCCCAGAAAATAGAGAGAGAAACCATTTTCCCATTAATGCATGTGGACATGTCCTGGTGATCTCCAAAAGATGAGTTGAAATTGAGGGACTGTGTCTTCTGGCCAAAATGATCATATAAAAAAGTAACCCCTATTTATCACCTTTCACATCTGGGTCTAATTACATTCATGGGTTCTATGTAGTGCTGTGTTTGAAAACAAGCTAACAGCAAACTAAACATCTTTATCGGTTGACAATTTGGCCACTTAAATTTAGATAAATATCATCTGGCACACTCGTATTTTGCTATTCCAAAACAGTTTTGTTTGCTTGTGGTTTGTTTCAAAGACAGATTCTCTCTGTGTGTGTTTTTTTCCTTTTAAAATTCTAAATAGTCTTTTCCTGAATCTCAGGAAATCACAATTTTTCCTGTGATCAGAGCCATCTTGGGATCAGGTTTCTTCCCATTAAAGAGAAGAAAGAAAGAAGAGAGAGAGGGAGGGAGGGAGGGAGAGAGGAAGAAAGGAAGGAAGAGAGGGAGGGAGGGAGGGAAGAAGGAAAGAACTCCAGCCCTACCAATATCTAAGAGGTGAAAATTCTGTACCAAGTTCTGTACCAAGTTCTGTAACAACTCGATCAGGGCAAAGCAATAGACGCAATCTACATAGACTTCTGTAAAGCCTTTGATTCAGTGGTACACGACAAACTACTCCTAAAACTAAAATCTTACGGTATCTCTGGACACCTGCATAACTGGATAGAAGCATTCCTGTCAAACAGACAACAAATGGTCAAAATTGGGAGAGTCCCATCAAATGCAGTACCTGTCAACAGTGGTGGCCCCCAAGGCAGTGTTCTAGGACTAACTCTTTTCATACTCTACATAAATGACCTCTGTGATCATATCAAGAGCAACTGCATTCTTTTTGTTGATGATGTAAAGCTATTCAACACCACAGACAATACTGCTACCCTTCAAAAAGATCTTGACTATGTATCAAAATGGTCAAACAAATGGCAACTTCGAATCTCAACAAATAAATGCTCTGTCCTACATATTGGCAAAAAAAAATCAGAAAATAAAATACAGTCAAGACCTTGTTGATGATCCAAACTCTGTCAAGGATCTTGGAGTACTCATCTCTAATGACCTAAGTGCTAGAGCCCACTGTAACTACATAGTCAAAAAAGCGTTAAGACTTGTTAACCTAATCTTACGTAGCTTTTTCTCTGGTAATATCACACTAATAACTAGAGCATACAAAACATTTGCTGGACCAATACTTGAATACAGCTCATCAGTCTGGAACCCACATTACGTATCTGATATTAACACAGTTGAGAAAGTCCAGAAATATTTCACAAGAAGAGTTCTTCACTCCTCTACTTGTTGCAGAATACCTTATGCCACCAAACTCGGAATTCTAGACCTAGAAAACCTTGAATTATGCCACCTTCGGTCCGATCTAAGTATAGTATATAAAATCATACATTGCAATGTCCTACGTGTCAATGAATACTTCAGTTTCAACCATAACAACACAAGAGCAAACAATAGATACAAACTCGAGGCTAATTGCACCAAACTTGATTGCAGGAAATATGACTTCAGCAACAGAGTGGTCAATGTCTGGAATACTCTACCTGACTCTGTGGTTTCTTCCCCAAACCCCCAAAACTTTAACCTTGGTGTGCTATATTAGCATACTCCAAACCCTGACACCTGATTGGTCCGCACGGACCGCAACTGGATTGGTTGACTCAGCGGCTGTGATTGGTGTGCTGGGAATCTACCACGATTGGCCGAGCCGATCGCGGGAGATTCAAAGCGCTGCCATTGGCCGCCGAGCCACGAGCAATCCCTATATAAAGGGTTGCCGCAGCTCCAGTTTTCTTGTACTGAACTGGACACAAATAAAGAGCTGAAAGTTACTATGGTCTCGCGTCTCTCTGGGAACCGATCCACCCCGATCTAACACTGGCGACGAAGGTGGGATGGTGAGACAAGAGACCAACCAAGCACGTGGCGAAGCGGCACAGCACGACAGACAGCATGGCCGGCAGTACCTCGCCACCCACACCCTTCAACCCTGCTGCTGAGGATTGGGAATCTTACACCGATAGATTCCAAATGTTCCTCAAATGCAGCAACCTCAAGGATACCAACGGCCAGAAGAAAAGGGCCGTATTCCTAACACAGTGCGGGCCCGCAGTGTTCAAGATGGCCAAAGCCCTGGCCAAACCGGCCAACGTCAAGGAGATGGACCGGGTCGATCTCGAGCCCAAACTACGCAACCACTATGCCCCCGCCGTGCCCATCCTCATATACCCAAGATAAACATTTACAAACTCTGAAAATGTTGAGGTTTCATCCTGTCACAGAGGTTTTTGTGCAGCATCTTCTTGAAGCTGTTTCACAGAGCCACATCACCTCCTAGTCTAAACTGAAAATGGTTGCTTTCTTGTTGAGCAGTTCCAGGAGCCAACAGATATTTCTGCACATATGCAACGCATGCACAAAAGATGTTTTAACTATGGATTCAGGGTCATCCAAAGAGCCTTGATGAAGAAACTCCTCTATAGCTGGGGTCTCCAAACTTGGTAACTTTAAGAGTTGTGGACTTTGACCCTCAGAATTCCCGAGCCAGCCATGCTGACTGGGGAATTCTGGGAGTTGAAGTCCACAAGTCTTAAAATTGCCCAAGTTTGGAGACCTGCACTCTATAGCCATAAAAGCTTAGCTGAGGAAAAATGTGAACAATTCCTCACTATGTTCTCCCAGAACTGAAATGTGATGTATTGTTAAGTGGACCGTTACACCTTGAACCCAATATTCATTTTTCATCTTGGCTTCTTCTAGATCAGGAGTGTCAAACTCACATTGTCACAACAGTGTCACATGATGTATTGGGATTCCCTCCCCCCTTTGCTAAATACAAGAGCAAATAATAGATACAAAGTCAAAGTTAATTGCACCAAACTTGATCGCAGGAAATAGACTTCAGCAACAGAGTGGTCAATGTCTGGAATACTCTACCTGACTCTGTGGTTTCTTCCCCAAACCCCAAAAACTTTAACCTTAGACTATCTACTGTTGACCTCACCCCTTTCCTAAGAGGTCTGTAGGGGGCGTGCATAAGTGCACCGACATGCCTACCGTCCCTGTCCTATTGTTTCTTTTATTTTTCTTATATGTATCCATGTATTCATAACTATGTATTTACTTATACCTATTATCTTGTAAGCAATTGACAAACCGAATAAATAAATAAAATAAAATGACACGTGCGGCCCACGGGCTGGGAGTTTGACAGTCCTGTTCTAGATAGTCGGTTTAAAGAAGAATGGAGCAACTCTGGCTCTGGGTACACATGAAGCTTTTGGCTTAAATTTCAAAAACTTTCTGCAAGGTAATTTAAGGCTTCTTAGAAGTAGTATCTATTCATTACACCCTATTGTTAGGAAGGGAAAAATTATGTCAGGGAAAAGAGAAAGAGAAAGGGAGGGAGGGAAAGAGAGAGAGAGGGAGAGGGAGAGAGAGAGAGAGAGAATGGAAATGTGACACGTGAAGTTGAAGGAGTGAAAAGAGCATTCAATAAGAACAATCTTGTTGCTCTTTATAAAACCTCTGAATATGTACAGTTTTCAATTTTAAACTTAGAAATCCTACCAAAAGTGCTGTTATCCATTTACTTGGCATTGACCAACATTTTACTGTAGAAAAGGGGAGTATATCATTCAAGAATGATAAATCGAATGTTTGTAGCCATGTATATGCTTGCCCAGTTTCCTCCTAGTCGTAACATGTTTTAAGGTGCAAATAGGAATGCTACGCTATGGTAAACAGCCTGCAATTATCCAATGTGTGCCAAGATAATCTCCACAGCCATTTACTGTTTGGGACTCCAAGGACACCAAGCAGATTATTAAGGTTTATTTAAACCATCTGCACTAAAAAAAAGAAGAAGAACCCAGAAGACAACTGAAATATGATGTACATGGCCCCACACTTCCTGGCAGCCATTACAGGAGATAGACACATGGTAAATGTGGAAATCTAAATAATTTCAGCCAGAATTATGGGTTGCAGTTCCATCACACCAAGATCTTTAGTTTCTTAAACTCTTTGGCTTCTTCCAACATCTGATCTGATGTGAGTACTAATGTTGTAGTTCTGGCCATCCTTATAGTAACCATTTACTAAATTATTAAACTCTTATTTTAGCAGTAAAATGTGTACCCATCCCATTAAGTACAAGTTGGGTAAGAACTGTGTTGGCTTATGTGGCTTTTTGAGTTGCTTTCTGTTGAGTAATTAGCCCCTCAAAATGAAAGAAGGAAAGTTATGCCATAAGATGATAGGATAAGCAATTCAAGGGCATAAAATATAGAGGCTGATCTGACTGTATTTTCCCTCTGCCAACTTTTGAGTTTCTGCTTTCAAATGAAGGGACAGTCTTCTATTGTGTACAAAGAATGAACCACTTACAAATGAGCACTTTAAAAATCATTTTGGTCTGCACCAGGACAGTTTTTAATATGTGATATTCAGAGGTCATTATGACAATTTCATGGACAATCAATAAATTAAGGTGTAAAAATATCCTTTTAATCATAATCAAAGCACCAAAACAGCAATGAATACCAGTATTTTGAATTCTAAAATGTAAAAATGCCATTGTGAAATTAGATTACATCTTGCTGCTCAAAGCAAAAGGTGAAAACATGACAAGTTAGCTGTACTGTTTGAGAGCAGCCATCCTGGACGGAAAGAGGGCTCAAGCAAGAAATCAGCCCAGGCTCCCTACATTAATACAAGAGGACAAAGTCTGACAACCATCCCCTCCCCCAAATGCCTCTGAGCCTGATCTGGGCTTTATCAAATGAAAGCTGCCAATCTGGGGAGATTCCTGTACCATAGGCAGAAAACAATAAAGTAGGTCTCATTTCTCACGCCAGATTGATACATACTAAGGAGAGTCTACTTGTAAATGGTCATTCTGATTAAAATTAATTCTATATTTTTTATTAAAAATTATTTCTCACTCTGAGAAAAAAAAATAGCTTTAAAACGTGATGGATACACACATAGGTGAAGCATCTGGGCTTACTGCATGCAGAGGAAGGCATCCAATCAGTGGAACTCTCAGTCTGTACTTTCATGATTAATCCCCTAGTGCAGGCATAATATAGCCAACTTATTCGCTGTGAAATACTTCACACAAATTGCTGGACGCATTTTTAAAAAAATCATAAATTCAGCCACAAAGTATAAAAGAATACCCACATAGGATGTAACTTAACTGACACCCAGACTCAAGTGGCAACACGATGTTTGTAATAGTTGAGAATCTACCTCACAACTTGGGGGAGATGATAAAAGAGCTTCACCACAAAGGAAAGAAGTTGAAAAACTTCTCGTTGTTGCAGTGGTCGAGATTTGTATACTTTTGGTCTTCACCGCTGGGCCACTCATTCCTTTTGAGGGGCAAGGAATTCTGGTAATAGTGATGGGCAGAGTCTCCAACAAGGTAAGGATCCTCTGGAGACAGCTGGCAAAACGAATGGTTACTGTTACAAAACAAGGGTGCTTTGATTTCAGACATACCTTCCCCAAGTATATTTCCAGGAGATCTGAAGGAATGGTAACCAACCTTCATTGAGGATTCCCACCTACTAGGAACATGTTGGGGACTTAAATCTACTGTGTTAAAGGAAGATAGTGTCTCCTTGGGTAGACCTGGCAGAACTGTAGTAGAGCCACTGACATATTTCATTGATGGAAGAAGATGCCTTCCTAAGTCAAGGTTTTGATTCCAGCTCTCCAGCTCCACGTATTCAAAACAATCAGAAGCTAACAATTCCACTGGCTCTCCACCATCATATTCACTGCTTCCAACTGGCTTGTACTTGTCCAAGTATTTGCTATAGTCCATATCTTGAGTGTGCTCTAATACATAGGGCAACTTTGTAGAACTGAAGCCTTTGGTGAAAGTCAAGCAATTATTTAGCTCTTGAGATGGATTCTCTCTGAAGTATCCACTGAAGCTACTGTGTGCTATTCGCTCTTCATGTTTGGGAACAATTAACAATAAAGTATCATCACTTTGCATCTCTCCTGTTAGGGACTTAAGGGAAATCCATCATATTACAATTCAGCTCTAATAAAGATCCATTCATTCTCAAAGCTAAATTATAGCTGAATTCCAAAAGTTGGGTTCTTACTCAAATTATAATGTGAAGTCACTCTGCTCTTTGGACTTTTCAACCTTTGAAATGGTCTCAGTTACTGTGAGAGTCAGTTCTCACATAGATGGTGAAAATCAGAAAAAGGGCAAATTTGACAGTTGTTGGGGGGCGGGGAGAGGTCAGATAGGATCAGTCAACTTGCCCCAAAGAGGGAGTCATGTTCTCCATGACGAAGAACTTTTAACTTACCTTTTCTGCTTTCTCTATTTTCTCCCTACATCTGTCTTGACCTTAAAGCAGGATCCTGTCTTTTTCAGCGCTGGATGGTTACATCTGCTCTATTTTTTTTTTTTTTTAGCCAAGCAATAAGTTGCTTGTGGGTAGGACTAATGAGATAATGTAAAATTTCCTCCCCCAGAAATAGAGCCAGAAAGAAAGGTCTCAGCAAATGAAAGCTATTCCTTTCTCAGGGAACTGGTAACTAACTTAATAATGACATTACACCCAAAATTTTGGGCAAACCTTTGTGGGTATAATATAATGCTAGATAAATGGAAGAATGCATGAACGAATGGACTAAAATTTACATTATATTATGTCTTGAAAGACAACTTTTATAAAATGATGTATCATTGGCACTTGACCCCGATAGACTAGCGAAAATGTATAAAGGGATTTCTAATAAGTGTTGGAAATGTAGTCAAAATCGAGGCTCGTTTTATCATATGTGCAGGCCTTGCAAATATGTAAAAACATACTGGATGAACGTAACAATGACAATGCAATATGTTGACGGATTTGGTGTTTTGTGTGTATATGTGTGTATGTGGTCTCCAATTACAAGTGTTAACTAGTGTGACTTTGGGGCGGGGGGAGGTTAGACTAAGTGCTGCCTCTTAGCTTAACTTCTTTTTGGATTATTACCTTCTAAAGAAATGGTTGCCATTTCTTGTCACTTGATTGCCACCAAAGGAACCATGCCAATTGAGGAACATAACTCCAGGGGGAAAGGCAAATATGTACTCGAGCTATACTAATACCAAACCTTCAATCAATTCCCCCGACATGTTGAGTCCTTGCTGGATGCTCAGCTTCAGGAACTCCATCTGTGGTAACAGTACATGGTCATTTGGGTATTGGATTCCGTGAACATTTACCTCCATCTCTCTGTTCCTCTTCAGTCTTGGAGAAGTTGAAATATATGCTTTTTGTATTGACCTTCTTGCTTCTGCTTCCAGTTTGGTTTCTGGTCTTGGGTGATCATGAGCTCCCTTTGACTTAACAAATAAATGAAGAGAGACATAATGATATCAATGCAGGAAACAACATAGCATCATGCAGATCAAGTGTAAATTCCAGAATGGCCTGAGGGCCCCAAAATTAAATGACCCGCAAGTTATTTGTCAATCTGCTTCAATTCTTGATTTTATTTATTTAATTGAAAGTACATGTTCCTTCACCCTGTGTGGGGAAGAAGAAATCTCATTCTTCTACAAGCTTCTTTGTTTATATGGTTTGTTTCTTTAAAAAAAAATATTACCGTAAAATGCATGTAGTTTTTAAAATTTCACAGAGACTGTGAATTATTTTTAAATGATTAGCCTTCTTGATGGATTTTATCTAAACCAGGCTATAATTTGTTTGCAATTAATTAATAAAATTAGAAATTAGATAGGAAAGTATACTTTGGTACTGTTTAGTTCAACAGTAGTTCTAAAATGTATATGTATGTGTGTGTGTGTGTGTATGTATGCATGTATGTATGTATGTATGTATGTATGTATGTATGTATGTATGGTTTCAGATTCAGGAATCATATTGGAAAAAGGTCTCCAATTAAATATGTCTAAGCATCAAATCATGTTTAAAATATGAGCACCTTATTCCAATTTATCATCTTCTACCTTCTAGAACCACAGTTCCTAAAAATCCTAACCATTTTTGTTCCTCCTAGCTGGGGCCTTCGAGGGCTTGCTGTCTCAAAGTTTGGGGAAAATGTTATGGAAGAAATCTGATTTCATGAACTGACTGCAAATCAAGATAAACTCAATAAAGAGTGCAAAGTGGCCTATGGTGTTTTGTGCTGTTGAATTTTAACATAGGCTTGGATGGAAATGTTGACCCAAGGCTACCAGATAGCCCAATGGGATTTATCTTTAATAATTAAGGATAACAGATAACAGATAATCAGAGTTGGAAGAGACCTTGTAGGTCATCTAGTCCAACCACCTGCCCAAGCAGGAGACCCTACACCATTTCTGACAAATGGCAGTCCAATCTCTTCTTGAAAGTCTCAAGTGATGATGCTCCCACAACATCCGAGGGCAATTTCTGTTCCATTGGTTGATTGTTCTCACTGTCAGAAAGTTTCTCCTTATTTCCAGGTTAAATCTCTCCTTGTTCAGTTTCCATCTATTATTCCTTGTCTGGCCTACAGGCGCTTTAGAAAATAGCTTGACCCCTTCCTCTCTGTGGCAGCCCCTCAAATATCAGAAGACTGCTATCAAGGACATGGTTGGGCTCTAATGATTTAACCGGGACACACTATGGCCATGTCTCTCTAGATCAGGGAACAAAGACAGAAGTTTAGAAGCTCTTCTGGATTTAGTTGAGGGTATTGTGTCGAGTTTTGTGTCATTTCTTTCAAAAAACCGTCTGGCAGTTGCTGGTATGACCCAACTTGTATAAATTGGCAAATTAGAAAGACTTCTTGGAACCCCCATAGCAGAACATAAGACCAAACATTTGCTGGTTTAAGAACATCCTGATGGACAAACACCTGATTCCACTTTGGCCAATGTGATGGATATTGGAAGCTCCCAAGGAGAACCCAAAAGGTGTAGTCCTCTTCCATCATTGTTCCTACCAGGGTTTTGTTCCTACCCTTTCAATATCATGCATTGCGCATCATCAGAATAAAACAAGCCCATGTGAACTCACTTGCTTTAAATGAAATAAATATTTGTTTTTGTTTTGCTTACCTGAAAAAATATGAACCGTCCTTCATGTCTCCAGAAATTTGTTACAGGATATCCACCATGGCCTCGACATGGAATCAATTTCAAAGGTCCATTACAATTAGGACATGGTTTCCCTGTAGGATATAGACCATTCTTTAACGGCATTCAAAACATAGTGTAAAATTAATCCGGTCTTCGGGTCATATAGCAATAATCATCCTTATGAGCCTCGAAGTCATAATTTAATATAAAATTCCCAAACCTGGATCCCTACCAGATATATGGACTACAGTCCCAGAAATCTGAGCAGCGGCCACAGCTGCTCAAGCGAGGAAGTCTGATAATCGACACTTGCAAATCTAGAGATGGTTTTTATAAGAAGAAAAGTGGGTATAATTAGAAAAAGTCATCATCCAGTGCAAAAGTTTTAGCTTTCCTGATCCAGATTGGAATAATATTTATTTGGTTAAAAAAAACAAAAAACTTTTCCTCTGTCCAGTTGTGTCTGACTCTAGAGCACAGTCTCATCTCCATTTCTTAGTCACTCCATTTCTTGCACTGTTTGAAGAGGCTACCATGGTCATGTGGCCAGCATGATTATATGCCGAGGAGCACAGAGTGATGTTACCTTCCCACTGAAGTGGTAGCTATCTATCTACTCCAGTGGTGGGATTCAAATTTTTTTACTACCGGTTCTGTGGGCATGGCTTGGTGGGCGTTGCATGGCTTGGTGGGCGTGGCAGGGGAAGGATATTGCAAAATCTCCATTACCTCCCCACTCCAGGGCAAGGATACTGTAAAATCTCAATTCCTTCCCCACCCCACTAACCTGCTTTCCAGCTCTGTCCTCCTGTGCAGGGTAACAAAAGAAGACCCAGCCAATCAGCTGGGACTCTGGAAACAGATAACAGATGGGGGCGGGGCCAGTCAGAGGTGGCATTTACTGGTTCTCCACACTATGCAAAATTTCCGCTATCGGTTCTCCAGAACTGGTCAAAATCTGCTGAATACCACCTCGGATCTCCTCACATTTGCATGCTTTTGAACTACTATGTTGGGAGGAGCTGGGGAAACAACGGGAGCTCACCCTGTTCACAGCACTCGGGTTTCAAAGTGCCAACCTTCTGGTTGATAAGCTCGGCATCTTAACCACTAGGCCACTGTAACCCTCTGGTATGTACTATTTATTTCCATTACATTCTTTTTCAAGGATACTTGACTTGTACATACAAAAGTGCTTTCACTTGTACAGGAACTTTCTGATTTTCATATAGCATGAGATACATTTCAAAACACCTCTTAAACTCCAGGAGCAGTTTTTCCCTGTATAAAGAGAATTGGATTAAAATAAGTCTACAAGCGGACCTTGGATTTGTAACAATGTGTAGAACCCCCCCCCCCGAAACAAATGGAATTATTTCGATCCATTCTTCTGTCCACTAAATATTGTTGAAACTTGTTCACTTTTACTTACTTATAAATCCTAAATATTCGTTCTAGAAATAAAGGATGTTTCAGTCATACAAATTATAGAATTTGTTTTCCAGAATTCAACCCCATGCCCATTTAGCAGGGGATATCCTACCTAACTAAGGAAAGATTTTCCTTTGAAAAAACACCCATAGTCTATAAAACTGTAACTTTTGCTATTCCACTATTATTATGTATTTTTAAAATAATCGCCCGTGTATTGCGCTGGTCAGAAGGAGGGCTGAGAAGATATCCACTGACTCCTCACATTCTGGACACAAACTGTTCCAACTCCTCCCCTCGGGAAGGCAGTACAGGGCATTGCATGCTAAGACAACTATGTAATGACAATTTCCCCTCCTCGTGCCACCAGTCTGCTGAACACCTAATTCTCACAGTATTGTCTAATGTCTATGTATATTTACCTATGCAATATGGCTGTATATTATCACTTATTCTTCTTATTTTCTTTATTTCCCCATCTTACTTGTATTATGATGATGATGATAATTATTATTCTGCTGCTTTGCATGTACACCATGAGCTTCTGCACTGGAGACAAATTTCTTGTGTGTCTAATCAGACTTAGCCAAATAAAGTGTTTTTCTGTTCTGTTCTACTCTACTCTACTCTACTCTACTCTACTCTACTCTACTCTACTCTGCTCTGCTCTGCTCTGCTCTGCTCTGCTCTGCTCTGCTCTGCTCTGCTCTACTCTACTCTACTCTACTCTACTCTACTCTACCTATCCATGATTTCATAACATAAATCCAATTATGTTTACCCAGAAAGAAAACTCTTTGAAATAAATGGACATACGATTATAGCCTCAATAAATACCACTCTTCATATTTTTCCAAGCAATAATATTTAAGAAGTATCTATTTACAGCGTTCCAAAATTGCCTCAAGTTGTTTTGTAAAAGAACTTGGTAGCTGAAAGTTATACTTTATCTGACTTCTCTACTGTTGCAATATTTTTTACAACACTATTAACGATAAGCATCAGCTTGTAAAAATATGCTTTAAATTACTTAACATTTTAAAAATAGTTTTCAAATATAACAGCAAAGCATACACCACATCTGTAAAGTAAGTGGAGAGAGAGAAAGAGATTAGTTCATTATAAGTAGTCCTTGACCCTATGACCACAGTTGAGGCCCAAAATTGATGTTGCTAGGCCAAACAGCTGTTAAGTGAGTTTTGTTCTGTTTTATGACCTTTTTGTCACAATTAAGCAAAACACAGCAATTGTTGGATGAATCATGTGGTCATTCAGTGAATCTGGCTTTCCTCATTGACTTTGTTTGTGGGAAGCCAGTGGGAAGATTGCAAGTGGGGATCACATGTTATAAATTGCCATTTGCCAAGTGCCTGAAATTTGATCACATGACCATGGGGATGTCTGCAATGGTCATAAAGGTGAAAACTGGTCATGTCATTTTTTTTTCAGTGCCTTTGTAACTTTGAGCGGTCACTAAAGGAATGGCCGTAAGTCAAGGACCACCTGTAGGTGCCATCGAGTCAGACGCAAATCCTGGAGACCTGGAGAGGAACAAAGATAGATCCAGCAACAATCTGTATACCTCCAAAAGGATTTTAGTAATCTGTTCTATCCCATCCATCCACTTCACCTGTTGAATTTTCTGCCTTCTACATTCTTCAATCATGCCCAGCATGATGGGCCATCATCAGTCTGCTGAGCACCGATTTGATTTTCTGTTTGCTGATCATAACCTCAAAGAAGAAGCAGTTAGTCAGTTTTAGCTTGCCCAGGACTTACTGGTTCTTATTGCAGACCATAGTAACAATATAATAGACTTATATATCACTTCACAGTGCTTTACAATCCTCTCTAAGTGGTTTACAGAGTCAACATATTGCCCCCAACAAACTGGGTCCTCATTTTACCGACCTCAGAAGGATAGGAGGCTTAGTCAATCTTGTAGTACTTAATGTTCATCTCCAAACCAATAGTTCAATGCAGAGGTGGTATTCAGCAGGTTCTGACCAGTTTGGGAGAACCGGTAGTGGAAATTTTGAGTAGTCCGGAGAACCGGCAAATACAACCTCTGGCCGGAGATTTTGCAGTATCCTTCCCCTGCCACACCTATCAAGCCACGCCCACAGAACTGGTAGTAAAAACATTTGAATCCCACCACAATGTCTCTGTTTTCTTTCTCTCACACTTTTTTTAATGTCGAACTTTCCTAATCACATTACCTTCGGAAAGGCTGTTGCCATAGCTATTCTCATCTTTGTTATTGTCGAAATATCATTCATGGTCTTGTCTCAGGTGTTACTGACTAGCTGCTCTCTTGCCAGACTAGAGCAGCGACCACTTTTGGAGGGCAGGCACCTCCCTTCCATCACAAATGTGAACTTTGGGCCCATTTTCTTGCTGGATTGTAAAGTGTTACTTTGAAACACTCCTGTCCATTTTGACTGATGTGCTTTGCAGGCTAAACACAGCGGTTCGTTGATTATTTCTCAGAGGCAGAAACACCCCTCAAGTACCGTACATCAATGGCTACCGTAGTATCTAACGTCTTCTAGAACTGCTTTTATCATGTGTGCTATAATATCACAATAAGTATAACCATTGCCTTTTGGATTGAAGCAGAGGTGGTATTCAGCAGGTTCTGACCAGTTCTGGAGAACTGGTAGCGGAAATTTTGAGTAGTTCGGAGAACCGGTGGTATCCTTCCCCTGGAGTGGGGAGGGAATGGAGATTTTACAGAATCCTTCCCCTGCCATGCCCACCAAGCCACACCCACCAAGCCATGCCACACCCACCAAGTGACGTCCACAGAACCGGTAGTAAAAATTTTTTGAATCCTACCACTGGATTGAAGGTAGCAGCAGGCTCTCCTTCCCCTCCCCAATTGCTGTTTTTCTTTCTGTGTAACTGAAGCTCTCCTACCTTAAGTCAGTGGTCCCCAACCTTTTTTATGCCACGGCCCGGTACCGGCATCAGCTGGGCGCCATCTTGTTTTGATGAAAAAGTGCTTCTAGTGAGCTTTCTACCCAGAAAAGCTCACCGGAAGCACTTTTTCGTCAAAACAAGATGGCGGCGCCCAGCAAACCAGCGGCCCGGTAGGATTTGTTCCACGGACCGGTACCGGTCCGCGGACCGGTGGTTGGGGAACCCTGCCTTAAGTGACTACAGAACTGTCAAATGGTGAATCACTGCACTTATTGGAAAAAAGCCAAGGGAGATGTACAAAGTTCAAGGAATGAAAAAGAAGAATTATAAACAATTCCCCCAGGTTTTTAATCCAGGAATCTTCTACTTACAAAGAAAGTGCTGCAACCATTGTGATATGCTATAGCAGTGATGGAGAAGCTTTTGGGCACCAAGAGCCCAAAGCACAAGCGCAAACCCAAAATGCAAGGTATGCCCTGCTCATGCACCCATGCATGTGTGCGCCCCCCCCATGTGTGCGAGCATATTCCACACATGTACCCCGCTGCTGTGCATGTGCGGCAAAGACCTGGAGGCCAGCTGGCCGGTGAGAGGTGCGCACGCATGTACAGTGCGGCTGAGCTGGGACGATGGCATGCATGCCCACAGAGAGGGCTCTGCATGCTACCTGTGGCACATGTGCCATGGGTTTGCCACCATTGTGCTATAGCATTCATAGAAGTATGAAAGACCAGCAAGGCAGTAAGAAAGAAAAAATTTTATTTTAAAACTTGTGCCATTTTGTATATACTTTCAGTTTAACTGGGTTAGTATAGTATACATAGATATAGATGTAGATGTAGATGTAGATGTAGATATAGATTCATGGATATTTGCACATCCATGCATATCTTTCTCTGTCTCTCTGCATGGGTATGCACATATCTATGAATACATATGTATACATACAAGCTAATATACAATTACACTGAAAAAAAAATATATATATACTATACATATACAGTAATACACACACATACACGTACACGTACACATACACGTATATGGATGTGCATACACACACATATACATAATATGCATCACCATATAAAAGCATATTTATTTAGGAATACCCACATTGAAAGAAAGTGATTGGCCACTGCTTTTTAGGAACAGACAGGTGGGAGGGCACAGCAGTCATGAATTGTCCAATGGGAAATCATGGAAAAAGTGCCTCCATCAGATGGAATTTCATGAAACTGGTTTATAGTGCAGAACAAGAGTGGAGAGTGTGTACACACACACACACACACACACATACACACACACAGACAGATTTCCGCACACATGCATGTTAGCTATCTGATTTCACGTCCCTCTTTTTTACCTGAAACCTGCTTGTTGATTGGGCATTTTTCTCTCCTTGTGTGCTTACAACCCAAGGTTATAAGACATAAGGCAGGCAATCGTATATATCTTTTGGATAAGTTATATTTAAAATTTATATGTAATCTTATATGTGAATGTATATGGCAATTTATGTACAATTTATTTTATATATTTATTTATTCTATAGTCCAATTTGTGAAGGGTTTCGGTGTAATCTTTTTAACTTCTTGGAACCTCATCTTCTTGGATTAGATCTCCACTGTGATTATTCTTGAGTATCCCTACCTTAACTGTAAACTTTTCTATGGTTTTGGCGGTCACCTTAAAAATCACTTTCATTATTGTTTTCCCTATTATTTCTTTCTTATTTATTGATTTTCTTGATTGAGATCTTTTCTTGACCTTTATTGTTTGACATTAAGAATCTGCCTTCAGCATCTCTCTTGCAGCCCAAGGCTTTCCTCCTCCGTCTTCTTTTTTTGTCTATCATGATAACTTGTTTTGACAACCATTTTGCTCCTTTCCTTGAAATATTGTTCTGCGTTGTTTTTCATAGGCTCTTTTTCTGTCGCATAACTCTTCAGGTTGTCTTTTGCTAAGAATGCTAAGAATGGTGAATGTGTTCACCTGGATCTGCTATTCTACCTTTAGGTCCTCCAGCCCAAATGTTGCTGGCACTGTCTCATCCTCTATAATTTTTTTAAGTTTCATTAGTCAATTTTATTCATATTTTGCTTCATTGCTCCACGAGGATTCTTATATTTAAAAATAGGTATATGGAATATAAATAGATGCAATATGGATGGCAACTCTAAGTGCTAGAGCCCACTGTAACTACAAAGCCAAAAAGGCATTAAGAGTTGTTAACCTAATCCTACATAGCTTTTTCTCTGGTAATATCACACTACTAACTAGAGCATACAAAATATTTGCTAGACCAATACTTGAATACAGCTCATCAGTCTGGAACCCGCATTACGTATCTGATATTAAACAGTTGAGAAAGTCCAGAAATATTTCACAAGAAGAGTCCTCCACTCCTCTACTCGTAGCAGAATACCTTATGCCACCAGACTTGAAATTTTAGACCTAGACAACCTAGAACTACGCCACCTTCAGTCCAATCTAAGTATAGTACATAAAATCATACATTGCAATGTCCTACCTGTCAATGAATACTTCAGCTTCAACCATAACAATACAAGAGCACACAATAAATACAAACTCAAGGTAAACCACACCAAACTTGGTTGCAGGAAATACAACTTCAGCAACAGATGGTCAATGTCTGGAATACTCTACCTGACTCTGTGGTTTCTTCCCCAAACCCCAAAAACTTTAACCTTAGACTATCTACTATTGACCTCACCCCTTTCCTAAGAGGTCTGTAGGGGGCGTGCGTAAGTACACCAACTTGCCTATCATCCCCATCCTATTGTTTCTTTTTATTTTTCCTATGTGTATCCATTTCATGTATTCATAACTATGTTTCTACTTATACCTATTATCTTGTAAGTGATTGACAAATCAAATCAATAAATAAATAAACTCCCGTTACTTACAAAAATGTCTTTCGAACCTAGGTACATCCGACAGACATCCTTAAAAATAAAATAAAATGGGAGACTGTGACTGCACAACAGAGCTTTGTTTGAAAGTGTGTCCTGATATAAAAATGAAAGCGAGGGAAGGAGAGAGGGAGAGAAAATGAGAGAAGGGATAGGAGGAATCCTGGCAGTGTATCTTTTGGTCAGTGCGCATACATTACACGCAATCACTCTATATATGTATAAGCCTCTCTCATGACAGCTGGTCAGTGAAAACAACCCCAACAAGCTCTTCAATTTCAACTAAGTCCACTTATCCCCCAAAGTTGCCTAGCCTTGGGCTAATTGTTTAAATAGAAAGATGCTTCCGTTCCATTGGATAATAGTTCTTGGGAAGTTGATATCTCATGGAATCATCAGCACAATAGTTTGGAAATCTTTCTCATTTCGAGTGGTGGTTCAAATAAAATATTGAAAGAGTAACCATAACTCCCCCAAAGTGCTTTGAAGACAATAATGACTCACAAATTCTCTTAGTCCTATTCCATGTATTAGTAGAATGTATGAATAGGGGAGAAATACGTCAATAAGGGAAAAATCTTTCACCGCTGACAATTCTTTGAATATCTTCATGTGGTCCTGTCTCCAATACGTGTCAGGAAACTTTATAAAACTCCTAATTGTGGTTCTTATGCTTTTTTTAAAAAAAAACTACCGAAGGCCCTTAAGGAATTTTCCTTGAAGAAATTGGGCAAATGTGTAATTGTGTAAATTATTTTTTGTGATGCATTTAGAGGATCTTCTTAATGAAGCTACTTCAGAACGCAAGAGATAGCCTCGTATAACTCAAAAAAATAAAAATAAAGGAATAGTCCTCTTCTCATTTCTAAAGCTAATCTACAGACAGAGAAAGAACAAGATTTCTCCTGCTCTCTAGTATTTATTTATGCTTAATTTTATGTATTTACTATTGCGGTAATCTGCTCCAATTGGTAGCTTATGGGATGATGATGATGATGATGATGATGATGATGATGACGACGACAATATGTATGCCCCCAAACTATCAGCTGATTGAAAACCATACCATAAATTGCCTTATGAACAGTAGGAATTGAACATGAGGTAGAAGAATTACATGAACCTCTGAGGTTAAACACTTCCACCACATGTGCCTACCAAAGACCTGCCTCTTATCCATTTGTCCCTGGTCTCACCTGAGGGGAGAGTCAAAGTTTTTTCAGGATATCCTCATCAAACTTTGATCCCCCAATTCACCAATTGGTAACCATTGTAGAAAGTGTTTTGTGGTCACCATAAAAAAATAAAACCTTTGGAGTCTCTTGACGTGATGGGCTATACTTACATTTTGGATATTTCTCTTTCCACTGCCAAAATCAGTTGAGGTTGAAACTTCTCCCATCAGCACAATGATTTACTGTTACTCGGTGCATCATCTTGAAGATTTTGCATTAATTTATTTCAGTGGAATCTCCACTGAACTTTTGAAGGAGCTTAACATTACATTGCAGATTTTTTTTTAAAGGGGGTGGTGGTAGCAGTTAGATTGGTTCTTGTGATTAAAGTTAGTTGGATTGCAAGTAGAAGGGATCTTACAGGGGTGATTCTTGAGAATATTTTCTATGCAAAAGAAGCCAACTCAAGGAGTACAGGTGAAGAATCTTGTCCCTACTTACTTTGCTGTTTCTGCCTGGCTTTGTCACATATGGCTGGTCTCAGGTGCAACTTCCCTCCATCCGAAGTGGAGCAATCACTGTCACAGACCACCACACCAAGGCAGGATTTTTTCAATATGCGCGAGTTGTGATTGTTGGTGTTCCTCATGGCCCAGCTACTCAGGTGCCTCTGAGCATTTTTATCATCTGCACTGTAGATGTATTTTAGGTAGGAATCGGGCCATTCCTGAAACCAGTCTATCTGTTTCACATCCTGTGAGGAAGCCAAAGAATTGTACATTTGAAATGAAGAAAGAGAAAAAAGTAATACAGCTGTTTTTCATTCTGCAGATTTCTGTGTTTGTGATGCAGGATGAGATTATTTTGAGAAGTTTAGACTACATACATACCCAGGAAGAGGACTTGCTGGAAAATATACAAAAGGTTGGAAGAGAACCTATTTAGGCATTAACTTCCCATCCATGGCCCTTAATCTTTAGCCATAGATACAGTAATAAGATTGGATGTTTCACTGAAATCACTGGAAATTTAGTTAAGCATGATAAGAGAATATCTTCAGTTTCAGTGTTTCAAGACTGATTGTGTTCAAACCACAATATTTGTCTTGTTTTAATATCATGACACGGAAGTACAAGGACAAAAGTAGATTTCAAGCTACTTTTTTTTAATACGTTATTGACTTCTATATTTAATTCATGCATTATTACTTGCTGACCTCAGGCCATTAAATATTAGGATGTCTAAAAATAACAGAACTAGGTTAATTACATTCCTCAAGAAGAGAAATGTTAATTACACTCATCTTCAAGTATTCCAAATATATATGTCTTTTTGCAAGATGTGGTTTTAATCCATGTGTGCACAGGGGAAAATGCAAATTGATGCAGCAATTTTCCTCAGAAAAATGACACATTCGTTTGTGGCTATTAGCTTGGCCAAAGAATAGGAAAAAAATATGTTGCAATACTACAGCAACAATTGCTGGAACAAGAATACAAGCTGCCCAGCTCTCTGTTTTTTGACCAATTTAATAGGGTCTCACCAATATTTGGTGAATTCTCTACACCTCTCTGTAACATCAGGGTCAACCAGTGAATTTCAGAAGTTTCAAATGGAAGTTTGAATTACATGTTAGCTTTGGATGATAATGTTGACAATGGATTGGATGTTGACTCATCCTATTGATCAGTGTTTCCCAATGGTGGCAACTTTGAGGTGTGAATGCTGGCTGGGGAATTCTGGGAGTTGAAGTCCAGACATTTTAATGTTGCTAGCATTCGGAAACACTGCAATAGATCAATACAGATAGTTCATTCAGATAGTGCTGAATGGATCACACCTAAGACTATATTATGGCTTCCTTAGCCTTGTTTAATATGACTCCACAGTAACAATGTTAGTTTCAGCGCACAGCCTTCTTCCTCAGTTCATTCCATCCCGTTCCATCCCATCCCATTCCATTTCAACGTGTTCTGAATTAAATTAGTGAATTACTGGACATGTCCATGTAATTTTCTTGAAAAGGGAATGGAAATGGTTTGCTATTGCTTTCTCTGAAGTAGTTTTCAACTTTTTACCTATCAGGGAGCCTCTTATCCATATACCAAGTAGGTCCAATTCCACTTAACTTCCAAGGTAAGGTAAGGTCAGCCTGGTGCTGCCACCATATACCAAATAGGTCCAATTCCACTTAACTTCCAAAGTAAGGTAAGGTCAGCCTGGTGCTGCCACCTTATGCATGTAGTAGTATATCGAATAATATCAATAAATGCTGCATTAATAATAGTGACTAAAGATAGACCATGGTTTCTGCAAAATATGGAAAAATAATAATGTTAAGTTTGCATAAAATAAACATTATGTTAGAGCCACCTACCTTGGGAAGTTTGATGTCATTAATATCCCAGCTGAGAACATCCTCATTTTTAGAAGACAAGTTTTCTTGTTCCATGCTAACATCAGCAGCAACTCTCAACATGTCAGGATTTGTCCCCTGGATGTAATAAGAACAGTCTCCACTCTCAGTTTTTGAAGTGGTACGGCAATCCCAGCTAGCAAGCAGTTTAGGGCCAGGAAGCAATTTCCCGAAGCTAAATCATAGGTTGCTCATGAAAGATAAAATCAGTATTCTTTTGCTAGAAAAACCCGTTCCATTAAAAGTTTTGCAAGCAGCAAAGACAATGGAAACTGTAGCTTCTAGACAAGAGTGCTGTGTTTGGGAGATGGCATTAGCACTGATCTATAGCAGAAGTCCTTTCCATTGTTCTGGAATTTAAGGAATCAGAGCTCTCTCTTATTTTACATTTAATTCACTCTCAAATTATGTGCCTTAAGGTATAGTTGTACTATTCGTTACAAAAACAATGACAAGGATTATGGTAGCTCTTGTTCCCTCTCTTGGACCCCATACCTATCTTAGCTAATAGTAAAACATGTAAGATTGATGGGTAGGAGGGAGACTTGGGATCAAGCGTTCTCTCTACATTCTGGTAGAGAGAAAGAAGTTCTTGGAGGATGGGCTCCAGTATGAGTCCGAAACTTTGGAAGACTAAATTTCTGGTCCTAATGACTGACCTAGATTGGATCCTGCACCATTATCCTGGAACACATATATGTGCCTTCATTTATCATCGATACTGCTTAATTGGTCTGGGGTTGTGACAGTGGGAGATAGAATCTGCTCCTTCCTTCCTTCCTTCCTTCCTTCCTTCCTTCCTTCCTTCCTTCCTTCCTTCCTTCCTTCC